TCATGTGATTCTTGCGGTTCATTAGAAGTGGTTTCTTCATGTGATTCTTGCGGTTCATTGGAAGTAGTTTCTTCATGTGATTCTTGTGATTCAATATTGTTTGTCAGATTATTTGTGGATTGCTCTTCTTGTACTGTCTGATCTTGTAATATACCATTATCTTCAGAATATTTTTCGTATATAGGTAACTTAACTTCAATATCTTTACAATCACGAATATTTCTCAACCAGAGAGTAGCAGTGCCTACGGTATGAGTTATTCCAAATATACCACGTTGCTTCAATGTAATAATAAGTCTAGTTCTGTGACGCCTTAATACTCCAAATTGTAATTTACTTGAATCTTCCGCACAATTTGAAGTGACAAGCCAACGCGGTGGATTACCGTGAGAAATTATCGTAAATCGTTCATCTTCTGAAGATCCACATAATGAGAGAGTTAAAGACATATGATTACCTAATTTTTTTTTTTTTTTTTTTTTGAAAAACCGTTAGAAAAAAATATTATACCGAAAGAAAGATAACAAAATAATACCACATACTAGCTAATTTCGGGTCTAAATCTTCAGCAACAATTGAATCTACAAGTAAAGTTCCGACATCGTATCCTTTTTCTTCCGGTGACAAATTAATCGCTATGGTTTTAAATACGAAACTCAATCGAACTTTACCGCATCCAACGCCATGTCGTAATGGATACCATTTTGCTCCTTGCTTTTTATATATATATATATATATTAGCATTGAAATAATTTATATGTAAGGATAAAAAATTTTACAGTAATACCTTTCCCTTATGTTCAAGAAGTCCTTTTAAAGGAATTGTCGCTATTCCAATTACCGGATCATATTCTATAAATTTCGGAAAAAGTTATAAAAATGAAATTTCAGACAAAAAAAAAAAAAATTGTCAAGAGACAAAAGTTACCTAAATCTTTTTGATCCTTAACAACAATTCTAACAATTGCCGTTCTCCAGTCTTTAACAAATTGTTCTGTAGACGCGTTCCAGTATGGCGCAGTACTATAAAAATTTGATTAGTAAATTTATTTTTAATCGCAATCTTTGTTTTCACCAAATTTATAAGTTTTTTTTTTTTTTAACATAATTTTTTTATTATTATTTTATTAAAAAAGACATACTTATTTAGTTTTGCACGAGTTCGAAAGACTAGAAAATAATATAAACTTTTAGGTTGGTTTTTTTTTGAAAAGAGAAAATTAACAATAATCTTTGAGAAACTTATACCTCGAGTATCGTTTACATATACGACACAATAAGGATTTGGAAATGTCGCGTTATAAACATTATCAGACAAAACTATTCCGGACGTTTCTTTAACATATGGCGCAGCTGTAACTTGTAATCCCATAGCCTGATGAATTTGGAGACCGAGAATTCCGGCTTATAAAGGGATAACAAATTGTTAAGCAAGGATAATGAAAGATAATTACGTATAAAAGTGAAAGATAAAAACGGTTTACAAGTTTGATCATGAGACGGTTCAGCATCGTTAGGCTACTTTGGGAAATATTCGAGTCGAAATTG